GTATAAAAATCTTTCTTTTATCTGAGAAATTTCCTCATAAAATATTGTTGGTCCCTCGTAGACAGATTTGTTTCTGCCTACAATCTGCCCATTGACAACCAGCGCGCCACCTTGTGACTTTACACGTATTAGAAGTATGGGGACATTTCGTTCTATCAACATACCTTCTTCAAGGCCATTCATTCAACTATTTTTTAATGTTTACTTTCCCACCAAGATACCTTCTGTTAAAATTTGATTTACTATCAAGTTACCTTCTTTTGAAATGTAATTTACTATCAAGATACCTTCTTTTGATTGCGTACCGACGCGTCTAGCGCCATTTTACTTTGGCTTTTCCGCTGTGATTTTGGTTGTGTGCGGGCGTTTTTTTTTTTCGTTAACTTCCAGATTTTGGGATATTAACGCCCCAAGCACCAGTTTATGGAGTAGTACCCCTTTATCTTGTACCTTACGTTTAGCTGTGTTGGTTAGGGTACTACCCCGTCCATTTTGTAATGGGATTTTAACCTCCAGCTGAAATTTTTTTTTATACCATCGGACTATGTCCTTTAATGCTTGTCCTGAAGAAGTTTGTTCAATATCTGATTCCTTTTAGTGGAAAGCCATTGCGGAGACCACCATTCACTCTCCTCCAGCTTTGTTTTGTAGCTGCCTTGTAGCCGTTTCGCAGCCGATTTTGTTGGAAGCCCCCCTTTATAAAAACTCTGAGTGAACAGGTAAAATATCATTTTAATTTGGTATTTTATAGATATTGATATATTGATTGTTGCTGACTGAAATTCTTAGTGTGTTCGTGATTTTGTTTGGCATTTTACGAATTCAAATATAGGGTAGTGCCTACATGTCTTTTGGTCTTATTATACGTATATTGCATTAATCATGATTTTGAACTTTGAGCTGCCATAACTTATTATAGAACAAGGGATAACTTTCTGAGGGTGTATCACTTTGGTATATCTTTATCATTTCTTACTATTGCCGAAAGAAAAGTAGTTTTCTTGTAAAAGAGAATGTACGTGGATTTTTCTTCAAGTTTTGAGTCTTTTGAATGAGTAGTTCGATCTCAGACATAGAGTAGAGTGTAGATTCTTAAACAGACTTTTTCTCTCTCTAGGTTTTTTTATATACCATAAATTTTGAGAACGAGGCAAGTAGCCCCTACCTTGTGACATTCCTTTCGTCACTGCTCACTACTGGCCACTGATTTTTTATCTGTGTGTTTGACAGCTGAGAACATCACAGCTACGCCTAAAGCTGTAACTGGAAGAAGACAATTGTCCAGATAAGTTTAGGTTTAGGCGTTGAAATATTTGGAAGACCTATATTTGTAAAGCCTTCGTACGTGTACCATGATAAACATTTTGCAGGGTTAGTTATTACGATCAGCTTTATTTTTCCTTAAGGATGCCATACTGGATTTTTGCATAGCTGCGGAGAGTTTTTAATTTTTCCAAAAACGTATGATATGTCGTACACAGGCATTACCAGACCTTAGTTATTTCAGATCAGTCATTTGTTCATTTACCAGATTCATCATCAAATCATTTTTATTTTTTACTGACTTTATTTGGGATGAGATTTTGAAATGAATAGCATGTTGTTGTTGTCACTTATTCTCCTCTACAAGATGGCAATTTAAAGTACCTTTTTTAGACTTCCATCACCAATTCTGTTTTTTCATATAGACGGTCTATTGGAGTTTTGTACAATTAAATAGAGTTTTCGGTCCTAAACTCAGTGATTCAGTTCTTAGTTGGCCATGAATTGTTGTTCGAATGAAAATCATAAGGAAATGACATGAAATTTCTGAAGATGATATCAAGTCAATAAAGCTGATTTTGACCAACGTTTCATATTGATTGATTGTCAGGTATGTTTCCATTACCACAAAGTTAACTATACTTTTAGTATATAACAAAAATTTTAGTTTTCATAGCCTTCTGATCATTTTCAGAAGTTATTTTATAGAGATTGAAAATAGGGGGTTGTGAATGTTGCATTTTTTATCAGTGGAAGACGTTCCATGGTTAATAAGTTTCTGGCCTTGGTAATAAGACAAAAACCCGATGAAAAATAAGACAACACGCGGTGATGAATAAGCTAGAATATTTCGCTATTAGGAGTGGATATATGTAGGTGCATAATTATTTCCGTTGATACAAAAATGATTCTCAGGGGGGTAATACAAAAAGGAAGGTCGTCAAGAAGATTGATTCATTATTTCTCACGCATTCATATATGTATCATAACTGCTTTTAAACTCTCTTTACATATGTATACAATTTGAGTTTGTGCAAAATATTTCACAAAGGTGTATCATAGTATAATATAGCTTTGACGACTCCTCGGACATATGCTATGATTCAAATATTTGAGAGATTCTAATCATGTAAAACAAACTGTCACTTGGAAGATAGATAAATATTGTCATTGTAACGGATAAGACCACCTTTGTGATTGAAACGTTTACTACTGTAAATATTTGTCAGTACATGTGGTTTTATTGACCAGACAAGGCGGATTATGGTGGAGTGTATTCAACGAGATAGAAATTATTTTGAATCACAATTTATAGACTTTTCCTACGAAAAGACCAGGGATCCAATGGGACCTAAGAGGTGTGTGATCATAACAGATGATCCTGCCTCAACAGAAGTCAGGATGTGAACGCCCATGCCCTGGTCCGATTCCATTGTGTACCGGGGGAAAATAGAAACCGGTGCTAAAACCCTATCTATTAGGTGACCAGGGAACGTTTGTCTGAGAAATTAAGCGTTCTCGATAAAAGTGAAAAGTGTCTATCTGCACGACGTAAATAAATGAGGGAATCTAAAGCGGTATGTGCACCTCTGAAAATAACAAGTGAAACGCTTTTTTTACGAGGGTTACACCACACATTTCGCTAGAATCCTAAAAGCGGCACTACAACATTAGTAATACTGTCTTTAGAGGGGCAAGGGCGGATCCGCATTTGTGTCAGGGGGGGGGCACAGGATTCATATTCATGTAATGTAATTTGGTGGAGGCACCCCAAGGCTTGTAACATAGCTTTCGTTGGACCATATATGCTTTTCCAAACATACCAGCCAATGTTTGAGGAAAATTTAGATAGTGAAAGCTGGAAAGCCTCAGCAACACGATAATGCTTGCTTTCTTCATTCGATGTAGAAGAATCGGTTAATGTAGCTGTAGAAGCCGCATCGCTAATATTTGTATGGGTCAGTATAGGAAAAGGTTTCTTTTGTGCGTCAATCTCAAGCCGAGATATATATATAGAGAGAGAAACATTCATCTCTACTGCGCTTCAGCCCACTATATCCTGTCTTCTTAGAGTCATCCTATAAAATCATACAAAAAGTATGCAGAACATTTGCAACGACCATCGTTTAATACACAGTGTTTCCAAAATATAGGGAACCAAATGTATTTCTTACAACTGTTTGATTATTGATTATTTTGGTACAGCTTTATAAATTATGGAACAGATTCCCAAAACTGGTTCCCCCGTTTTGAAAATTTGGTAATGCCCATAACAGATTTGTCATCAAATTTAAAGTAGAAAATAAATCGCCAAATACACTTGGTCCTAAAATCACAAATCAACATCTTTCCAAAGGATATATAAGGAACATCAAATCAAAATCACTTTACGTATTGTTTGGAAGGTTTTTTATTACATAAAGGTTTGTATAATGCCTGTGAGTTTATCAGTGTGTTTATTATCTTGTTTCATTTATCTTGTTGTTATGTCTCTGTATATAGTTGCTCTCTTGACTATTTCTATGCAAACTTTGTTTGTCTGAAGAAAAATAAATTATTATTATGACTATTATTATTATCAGCGTCCTGAAAAACCACGGATATTTTTTGTCAAAAACGATTGATACTATCGAAATCAAACATGAATGTATTTCTTGAAATAACCGCAGGTAGCACTACCATAAGTTATATCAGCCGTTCCTGCTGATATGCCAGGAATACTGCCGACGACGCTATTAATTTCCTAGAAGACCAAGAGTTTACTTTATTGTTCTCAACACATTTTATACTTAGTCAGATTTAAGCCTTTGTACTGTTAACATCATAATAACATTGTAATAATTTTGTAAAAGTACATTTTTGAGTTTTGTATTTTCGAAAATAAACTTTTTTAAAACGCGATCTCGAGGCATCAATATTATAACTGGCGCAGTCAATCCAGTAGGATCAGGAATACGCGACACGGGAAATACTTTCGCAAACCGTCGCGACGGGACTTTTTGGGACTCTATCCGGCCTTTTGGACTTGGTTTTTGGATACCCAATCCGTCGAGGAACCGGCGTGAACAGCTACATACGAAGGGCATTCCAGCCTGGGGAAGACAACATTGCAGAACCAGCTAGGATCTTTATAGGAGTAAGAGATGCTAAAGATCTCTTTCTTAGTGTTGTAAGTGAGTAGATAGGGTTTGTATGTTCTGGGACGCCCTTGAGCGCCGACCTTCGGTGCCAAACGACCTTGAGAGCTGACCTTCGGTGCCAACCTTGAAATATGACCTTGCAGTGTGACCTTGAAACTTGACTTGAGTTTCCGAGTAACATTGAAGTATGACCTTGAATTGTGACCTTGAGTTTCCGAGTGTCCTTGAAGTGTGACCTTGAACATATATGACCTCGAGCAATCTCGACCTGGAGTGGATGTGACCTTGTAGGAGTGAACGACCTTGAGGTGTAGAAGGGAGCGCCGAGCTTCGGTGCCAAACGACCTTGAGAGTTGACCTTCGGTGCCAACCTTGAAATCTGACCTTTAAGTGTGACCTTGAAACGTGACATTGAGTTTCCGAGTGACCTTGAAGTGTGGCCTTGAGTTTTCGAGTGACCTTTAAATGTGACCTTGGAGTGTGACTTTGAACTGTGACCTTGAGTTTCCGAGTGACCTTGAAGTGTGACCTTGACCATATATGACCTCGAGCACTATCGACCTGGAGTGGGTGCGACCTTGTAGGAGTGAACGACCTTCAGATGTAGAAGGGATGACTTTGGAAATATATGCTTAAATTGTGGAACTCACCGAGAAAAGTCAGTTCTGTAGTTGCAAGTGGCGCAAATGGTACGGTACTAGTGGGATGCAGAATATAATATTGGCGAAGAAAAGTAGGTGTTTAGTCTGTCAAACGGAGAAACTGTTGGAGCATACAAAGGAGTTTCGCTTTATTCATAGGTGGTGTTGTTGCGAGACATTTTTAGTTTATTGTTCGGCATGTACTCAACACCGTCCCCATAAAATAGGGTGGATCTTTGAAACGGATGACGAAAATCATTGGTGTTGCAATCGGGACTCGCCATAGAAGTAATGACAGTAAGGAATGGATTCCTAATTAAATGGAGTTAGCTGCAAGATGGATATAGAGTGCGATATCCATATGAATTGATTTATGAAAGAAGTGTAATAAGTAATGCATATGTAGAGTGGAGCGTGTGTCAAGAAAGTTATGCGAGGGGTGTAGAATGGAGCGAAGACCGTTGTCAGCAATATTACTACATCGGTACCACAATGATGGGATCAATAGTATGTGAGAGGTGTATCAGAGGAGCAAGGTATGCCCTATTTAGTATATGCGACGGTTACGTGAATAAGCTCCACATACATAATAAGAACTTAGCAAAGTGTTTGTACTGCGAAAGGCGAATAGCATCGAGTAGTATACGTAAGTGTGACAACATTCCGCTGGGAGGCAAGTATCTGTATTGCATCCGAAGAAAGAAAATTGGAAAGTTAGGAGGAAAAGGAGATCGAGTGTGAAGGTAAGTGAAGGAACAATAATGTGTGGATAATTTGAGAGAATAATGAGTGTAAGGTTGTAGAAGCAAGACAGATAGCCAAAAAATTCAAAAATCGGTCATTTAAGAGAAATTAGAGTGAAAAACGTGAATTGGGTTGGGTGTTATTATTTTAAAGCTAATATACTTTATAGAATCCTTAAAACCTACAACCTTACAAATAAAATCTTAAAACTAAATCCTTAAAGCTAACTCCTTAAAACTAATACACATTAGGGGCTGATATACCCCGAATCGCTGGATGCATCGTCCAGATCCTACACGAGGTTGTCATCCTGAAATGCTTCAGGAATGGCAACCTCAGGTGGGTCGTCAAGGAGAGCAAGGCCGACGTGGAGCTCATCAAGCTCGACCTCAGAGCCGCTCTCCGACGAAGATGCGTCCCCCGCGCCCTTCCTCTCATGTTCGTCGGCAGACTCGTCGACTGTCGACAACGTCGTCCAGCAAAGCATTGCCAACATCGGGTGCAGCAATTCCTGCAGTTACGGTAGAGGCTGTGCTGTCGAAGAGGAGTGGACTAGCCAAGCCATCTTCATGGAAGATATACAGATCATTTGGATTCTGACCATCCATGACGATGACTGGGGAGCGACGGAATGGACAGACGACTATAGTGAGTATATAAGGATGCTCTGCTCCTCCGTCACAAGGTCGGGAGAATTCGAGGTCATGATGCTATAACGGACAAAGAAAGTATGGGTGGGTAATAATATTCTTAAGGATGAAAGTCGAGGTCACGATATTATTATTGGATAATAAATGTAAAACTTAAACGCGATCAGTAGACTTTAATGAAGTAATAAATCTTGACTGTTAATTTATGCTAGAAATCGTGAAAGGAACGGAAGAATCCGTGAAAGTGAGGTAGGAGGGGAAATGCTTGTATATAAGTGCACATAGTCGTACCTGTCACTGCAGTCCAAACACTTCAGGTTGAAAGCATCAGTCTTTAACATTGTGTTCTTTGTTCAATTGAAGACATGTGTTCAAGACCGTGTCTGTGTATCTTGGAGAAGAAGTGCCCGTACTACGGATTTACGAACAGTCAGCGCCTGATTTTGGACAAACTGTTAAGGCCCCGTGTACGGGTATTGCAAAATGTTAAAGTTGTACCACCACGCGAAACCATTGACCGTTCGCTGAACGGGCACCCGCAAACGATGGCTAGTAATTCGGGGAATGATGAGTTATCCATCGAAATTGTTAGCATGGGCTCTCAAACCATGCTTAACAATTACATCGCCCAAAATCAAATGAGATCGATATTGATTCAGTTTTAGCATCCATCAATCCGGACATTGATATATCTACAACGATGAATGCATACAATGCTTGGCCATCATTTGAGATGAGTTTGTTGGGAGCTCAGCCAATGCCATCCACGTCGAGAGCCACCTCAACACCGCAAGAGCCATCGGTGTCTGCCGCGATCGCGAGTGATCGATGTGATGTGGACGATGCACGATATCGCGACACCTACATCGAAGAGTTGCCGTTCACACAACCTGAACGGGACGCGACAGAACGTTGTGTTGTGAACGAGCAACTCAATCGCGACACGTGGATCGAAGAGTTGGCGCTCACGCAACTAGAACGACTCGAAACGGAACGGTGTGCAGTGAATGACGAACTTGATATGTAGAAATGGCACAAAAAACGAAGCCTGCAAATAGATCAAATTAATGTACAGCAGCTAAAATGTTTTTTTGTGTCAGATGCCACTGAAGAACGCGAGGTGCAGAAAAAAAAATATATATATATATATATATATATAGCTCAAATATCTTTCTTCAACGAAAACGTTTTTAAAAAATATTTATTTTTGAGAAAAACCAAATACAACGATGTTAATTGAATGAGTTCTGAATCGAGACTGACTGCAAAGTGCATTATACAAACCAAAGTAAAGAACAAATGAAATACAATACTGAAACTGATAAGAAAGGAACGTGGAGGCAAAAGTCCTTGTTCAGCATCTTCTTCTCTATAGACTGGTACATAACTTATATATATATATATATATATAAATGTTTTAGGTGTTAGAAACACAGTAGATACGTGCACGCCTCACAACAAAATGTTCCAATGTCCAAAATGCCAAAGGACCTTCACGGTGAGGAAAAGTTTGTTGAGACACTGTAGAGAGCGGTGCAGCCAGGATGGGGAGCCCGCATCCAAGCGTCCATGTAATGCAACCGCTTCACGCAGCACTGCAGACAAGTGGGAATGTCCTCGATGCCAGCAAAAATTCTCGGCACGAAAAGGTTTACTGCGACATGGTAGAGAGGTCTGCACAAGCGAGAAGAGTCCACCCGAACAACAACGTGTAGAAGGTAAGGTTACAAACAACTAAGCCAAATTGAATAACTTATATTTATGAACTTATTGTTACAGCTAGCATCACCCAGACCACCACAGGACTCAATACCAGACGACTCGATCCTTCAACAGCCAACGTTGCAGTACCGGGACCGAGTCGAATCAGTCCAACCACCAGCAACGACTCACAGACGAGTGCGGAAAGCAGAACAGTTCGCTGTGATAGTTGCAACTGTGAGGTACCGAGGAATGCACATGCAGCACATCTGAAAAGCATCAAACATAAGGCAAATCTATGGACACCTTTACACAATAATGTGTCAGTATGTTGAAGTGCATTTCGGGGTAGAATAGTCTGTTATCAAATAACCGCTAGTATAGACACTTTGGACGTAACTGAATATATGAATAATCTCGAACATGACTCCACAGACGTGATTGAAAATGAATTGCATAAGCATACAACGCTCAAAATAAATATAGAACTTTTTGGTTTATATATCTTACCAGCTAAAAGTCGACGAGAGGTGAAGTCCCACAATACAAACAATGTAATCATAACACAATCATCAAATTTAAAAGCAATCTATCATGATTTGGGAAGTAAAATAGAATAAAAATCTAAACAATTTGCGCAAAAAGACTCAGGGTGGGTGTTAGAAAAGATTTTATATTTAGAAATTAATATTAATAAATATAATCCTATCAGAGCACCATCAGATTTGCCACTTCCAAAGGAAATTAGGAACAAAAAAGCTGTATTCAATATAAGTAATAAGGATGAGTACTGCTTTGCATGGTCAATTGTAGCTGGTATGGTAAAACCAAAAGGTCGATCATCACTAAAAACGTCATATCCACATTATTCGAATGTTCCGGGCTTAAGCTTTGCTGGAATGACATCCCAAGTCAATATCAGAATTTGAATGCGTGAATAACATATCAATCAACGTTTATTGATTAGAAAAGGAATTCATTGATGGGAAGCCTAAATATCGGGTGGTGGGACCGTTACATTACACCGCGCAAAAACAACATACTCATCTGAACTTATTACTTATTGACGATTCAGAAGGAAACCACCGTTACTGCTTAATTACCAACTTTTCAAGACACGTTTCAAGCCAGTTGTCGCGGAATATGAGAGTAAAGCACCTTTGTGATGGGTGCTTACAATACTTTGCCTCAACAGAAAAATTAGAAATTCACATGCGAACCTAATGCAAATATATTTCAGTTAAGCTCCCAAAATTGGAAACGAGAGTTGGATCGACTTGAAACCACGGTAATGGAAAATGTACTAAAATTTGAACAGCATCACAAACAATTAAGGCTAGCATTTTGCGTGTATGCCGACTTTGAATGCATTCTAGCTCCGATAGAAAATGACTCAAGCAATTCAGAGGATGTATGTACTATCAGAAAGTATGAACATAAACCATCCTCATTTGCTTATTACATAAAATGCTCATTTAATGATTCACTATTCAAATTAGAACTATATAGGGGTGAGGATAGAGCACAAATTTTTGTTACTCGATTAGAGGCTGATCTTAAATTAATATATTATCAATATTTAACACAAAATGCAGAAATGAAAATGACTACGTACGATAAAGCTTCGTTTAATAAAGCAGAGTCATGTTTCATTTGTGAACAACCATTCACCAATACAAATATAAAAGTTAGGGATCACTGTCATTTCACAGGGAAATATCTTGGTGCGGCGCATAGTAAATGCAATCTCAATTATAAGACTCCGAACTATATTCCAATATTTTTCCACAATCTGAAGAACTATGACGCTCATCTATTCATAAAATACTTAGCTATGAATCAAGAACAAATTAAAGTGATTCCACAATCCTTTGAAAGATATGTGTCATTTACGAAATTAGTACCGGTGGACACGTACATTTCCCAAGAGGGAAAATAAAAAACCGTATTTTTGCAAATGAGATTTGTCGATTCATCTCAGTTTCTTTCGTTAAAATTAGAAACATTGTCATCCTTTTTAAGCGCAGAGCAATGTCGGACAGTACGAAAAGTGTTTCCCGAGGACGAAAGATTCTCCTACATGAGATGTAAAGGTATATTTCCCTATACATATCTTAAAACATTTGATAAATACAATGAAGCATGTTTACCATCACAACAAGACTTTTATGACGAAATACGTGATGATCACATTGCAGACGAGGATTATGAGCGGGCACATCATGTTTTGGAAGTAATGGGGTGTAAAAATTTGGGGGAATACGCGGACTTTTGCTTGACTTCGGATGTTCTTCTTTTAACAGATATCTTTGAAAATTTCAGAGATTTGTGTTTAAAAACGTACAAGCTGGATCCAGCTCGCTATTTTACAGCCCCTGGTTTGAGTTGGGATGCAATGCTACGATATACTAAAGTAGAGTTAGAGCTGCTTACAGATGTGGATATGGTAATTTTTTTTAAAAAGGGGATCCGCGGAGGAGTCAGCACATGTACCTCACGGAAAGTCGAGGCGAACAATAAATTTTTACCTCATTACGATCCATCAAAGGTATCATCGTACTTAATGTACATTTATGCGCGAATTTGTATGGATATACTATGCAGCAGCACCTACCGACGGGTAATTTTGCTTGGTTAACACAACATGAGATGGACAGGATTCAAGAAACAATTACACAAATTTCAGATACATCGGATATTGGATATGCATTAGAAGTTGATATAACAATACCGAATCAGCTTCATGATTATTTCAATGATTTACCATTTTGTCAAGAAAATTTTAAACCACCCAACAGTCAAAGCTCAAAATTAATTCCAAATTTACACAACAAAGAGCGCTACATTATCCATTATCGAAATCTAAAACAATGTTTGAAACATGGTATTATCTTGACGAAAATTCATAGAGGTATCAAATTCACACAAGCAGCGTGGTTAAAGTCCTATATACGGTTAAACACGGCACTTAGAAATGCAGCACGGAATCCGTTTGAAAGAGATTTGTTCAAACTAATGGTCAATTGTATATTTGGAAAAACGATTGAAAGCATGGAGAACAGAGTCGATATCAAATTAGCGACTCAATTTGAAAAATCGAAACACAAAATAGGTGCTGAAAATTATATTAGTAAACCAACTTTTAAAGACCACAGAATATTTTCGGAAAACTTAGCAGCTATTCAAATGGAAAAAACAATGATTGATTATTGCCGTCCCACATATGTTAGATTTTGTATTTTAGATGTCTCAAAAACGGTAATATATGACTTTTTTTTAGTGATAAGGTGTCGTTAGAATACACGGACACTGATTCGTTAATAGTACATGTTGAAGCCATCCAATTATGATGCTGACAACCCACATAACATGCCTCGAACAGCGTCAGAGTTGGGTAAGATGAAAGACGAATATGGTGGCAAGGTACTGTCTGCCTTTTATGGTACAGGTCCCAAAGCATACTGTATCGGTGCTGTAGATCAAGTGGATAAACATCAATTACATTTGTAACATTATAAGGATATTGTTGAGGAGAAATGGACATCTGTGCACTGTACGATTTATGTATTTAAATCGGAGTCGCATAATATATATACAAATTATATAAGAAAAGTGGCATTGACCAGTATGGATGATAAACGTTTCTTGATACCAAACTTAACAAAGACATTAGCCTGGGGTCATCAAGATATCACCTTTCATGAAATGTCGGACGAAGAGCGGTTGGGTCTCTTGCTGTGCTTAATGAACGAAGCCAGTGAGTTGACTAGTGATCAGATGAAATGATCAGAAATTAGAGCTTTGTGGTTGGGACAAGAATATAAATATATGCTTTACCCACTCACCTTCTTCAGTTTTAAAGATGAGTACCAAGACATACTATTCACTGTTCATGCAATTATGTCATGTAACTGAAGAGGTATTGAAAAAACAGCTCCGACAGTTTGTGTCTCAAAATCCAGAAAAACGAGAATTTCTAGTGCTGAGTTTTATACTGGAGGAAATTACAGTACCGGACGAAGTATTCAACTGGATTGCAAATGCAGATAGTTGCCATCCCGATGTGCTTTCCAGTGTAATAACAAGAAAGAAACATCTTGACTGGGTGGTACAGGAAACGCTGCAAAGTCTAAAGGATAGAGGTTGTGAGGTTTTAAGCATCAAACAATTTGGAGACCTGCTGGCGAACATGCACTGCACACCATCAGCATATGAACAATACTATTTGTGTAAGTTGTTATCTGACAGTAACTATGAAAATCAACCATATCCTGTAGAAAATATTACTAAGAGATATAAAGACACTGTATCCCATATCGATGAAACCATATGTAAAATCGCATATCTGGCTGATTGTGCATCACTGAAGAGTCTAATCGATGTGATACAGCAGCATGACATTAAATTTGTATTTGATATAGAAAATAAGATAAGACATTATACTGTATTTAAATGGTTATAGAAAAACGTAGCCAAAGGTAACATTGGAGTTAAGTCACTAGGATAGAGTTCTGGACCATGTGGTGTGAAATGGTCATCCACCAAATTTGAAGATTATGTTGCATGTTTGAGTGTCTTATGCGATTTATCCAAAACGCAATAATTCTTTCTGTTGTATAAATAAATATATCTTCATGAATGGTAGTATCATTTTCCATTGCACCTGCGCCAATTTTTGGGAGGTGAGTGTTTGTGAGTGAAGGGAGTATCGACACTGTATAAAAGTAGCTACTCAGCATCACATACCAGTCTTCTACATTTCACATAGTGTTACAACATGAGTAGTGCCGGTGGTGTCAAACACGTTTCAAATGTGCAGAACGATAAGGGGGTACGATCTGTATAAAGTGGTGTAGCTCAGCCACCGTTAATTGTCATCCAGGAGCAACGCTATCATCTAAATCCATCTAAATCAAAATGGATCACGATTGGGCGAGCATATCAGTGGAGCTTCCAACCTGTAATCAATATCAAGGGTTTAAAAACCGAGGGCGTTACGTTAAATGAATGAAGAAGACTGGTATGAAGTATTGAATCAAGAAGGCATTATAACTAATTTTTCTTCAGTGATGATACTTTCCATCCGATCCAAGGTAACTCCTTCTGTATGAGCTTTGATAGATTTCCAGATTTTCAAACCATCAAAATTGAAGATCGGTGAAGTAACGTAGTTTATTTGGGTAAAGAGACCGTATTGAAGTTATTTCAATTAGCCCCGCTGATTGCCTATACGATGAATATGCTGAAAACTCAGGAGTTCCAAAAATATTTTACCACACTTATCCTGGATGTAATAACCAAGCACATAGATGTGCAAACTTCATTATGCAACACATCTCTGATTTGCCACATTCGGAGAACATCAGGACTGCTATGGAACTGGCATACCAATATCCAAAACTTGAAGGAATTCAACAAGGCTCCACCACTGAACTTTTATTCAAATTACTTATCCTAATTATTCTCAGTATATTTGTAATAAAAATCTTAAATTACGTAGAGTGTTTTATTGAAAAAAGTTTGCTATAGAAATCATCTGAGAAGATAGGGGTACATTTGTCATACATGTAAATCACTTTTTTTAATCCACGAATTAAAGCTGCTATCCAGTCCTAATTACTTGACTAGCACTTTATTGCCTTTACGTCGAACCACTTTCTCCACACGATAGATGTTTGGATACTTGACTTTTTGAAGCTCTTCAGCATAAAATCCTCCTAGAATCTCGTCACCATGCCAATCTGCCAATAAGTATGTTATGATGTAGGATTGGTATACTGTACTTTACGAATTCTAAAAATTTCATTGGACAAATTAGGAGTGTATTCTTTTGCAAATGCTGTTCTATGTTTGCTTATGCGGACATGATTCCCAGTTTGATATTTTACACCCTTTGGATCTACCGTTTTCAAATGTGTATAAACCCTATTCAATAATGTTTTTCTGTACGTTTGTTTACGTCTTTGGGTTTGATTCCAATTGTAGTGTTTGATGTTATTTTACCCATCAATGACTGACGATAGGATATCTAGCCATTTGTACGATCCCTTTTTTTATATCGAAGCAGCCGCGCAGGCAGAAGCCTAAATGCAGGAACACCGCGGCTGCTATGATGATCCCAAAGAAATTTTATTAATACGATTTTTGAACTGCCTAAGGTTAATAGAACTGGGAAAAGCCTCCTCTTGTAGACTGTTCCACAATCTCGATACCCTCGGGACAAAGGAGCGGTCGTATCGGCCGGTTCTGGATGTACGAAGTTCGACACGGTTAGGATGGGACGCCAGTTAGGCGGGTCTGTCTGGCAGGCACATCGCGCGACGGCATCATGGAAGAGAGCTCTGAGGAGCAAAGCCCGTTGGTGTAACGGTAGAAAAGAGCCAGATCGCCGACAGCCCGCCGGTGCGATAGAGTCCCGAGACTGTCTGTTAGAGAAGAGTCATCGATCAGTCGGACCGCCCTCCTCTGGCCAGCATCGAGCATGGATAATGTAGTCGGGGCGGCAGCACCCCTAACGTGCGAGCAATACTCGAGGCTAGGCCTTATCTGGGCCTTGTATAGAGTGAGAAGGTCATGCGGAGAAAAGCCCTAAACAAATAGCCTAGCTTTTTTCAAGCAGCTGCAGCTATTGGCGAGATGTGTTCGTGCCAGATCAGGTCCTCGGTGATCTGGACTCCGACCAGCCGAAATGAATGGCTCTTTGGCAGAACTCGACCATCCATCGAAACTGGGTGAGCTCAGGGACGCTTTTTGTTCGTCAAAGTACAGTACTGTGTTTTGGAAGCATTGAACTGTACAAGATTGTTGCGTCCCCAAGCAGTGATAGCCTCCAGGTCTCTTGTCAGAGAGGAAGTCATCGCTAGTCTTCTTTTTTCCAACTCAGCGGCAGAGATCGGCTTGTCACTCTGAATTCCTGCATGTAGAGTGCTGTCATCAGCGAAGCTGTGGATTCGGTTGATCGTGCAGGAAAGGAGGTCGTTGATATGTAAGAGAAACAGTGTCGGAGCCAAGACCGATCCCTGGGAAACACCCATGTTGACGTTGTGGGATGAAGAAGAGAACCCGTCAATTACGACGGATATCTTGCGGCCTAAGACAAAGTCAGCCACCCATCTGCATAGCTTTTCTGGGAGGCCATAGGATGGAAGTTTGCTTAAGAGGGCAGCGTGCCACAGCTGATCGAACGCTTTCGTGATGTCAACAGCAACGACATGAGCCTCACCATAAGACTGGATGAGTTTACTCCACAATTGAGTGACGTAAGCTAGGAGGTCCCCTGTGGATCGTTGGTGCCGGAAACCATACTGCCTGTCGCTAATCAAGCCGTGACGTTCGAGGTAGTCCAGAAGCTCGCGATTTATGCACCTCTCCATCACCTTACTTAAAACAGAACGCAGAGCTATAGGCCTGTAGTTGTAAGGGTCGGTCTTAAATCCCTTTTTTGGGATGGGTTCGACGTGAGCAAATTTCCAGTTTTCTGAGAAGGTACCGGATTCATAAGATGTCTGAAAGAGACGCGAAAGAACTGGAGCAAGCTCCGGTGCATACCTCTTCAGTACAATGGCAGGAATCAAGTCCGGACCAGAAGCTTTGTTGATGTCGAGCAACAAGAGCACTCGCCTTACGGTCTTATGCCTGAATGTTACCTCCCGCATAGTGTAGGGAACCCTTTGAATTGACGGCACTTGGGCGTTGGGGGGGACGTCCATGGTGGAGTTGGCAGCAAAGATCTTGGCTAGCACTTCCGCCTTGGCCTTTGAGTTGAATACAATAGCTCCATCCTGACACGTAAGTGGTGGAAGGCTACTGTGTGAGAAGTTCTTTTCAATCTGCTTGGTCAGCGTCCAGAAAGACCGACTGCCATTGCGCTGCGACATTACCCTGTGCCTAACTTTTATATCATGCTGGTTTTTGGCATTGTGAACCGCTACTTTATATTTGTTTCTGGACTCAACGTCGGCTTGTCTGTTCTCTACAGTGGGGTTTTGTAAGAAGGTTCTGTGTGCCTTGATCTTCTGCTGGCGAGCAGCGGCACACGACTTGTTAAACCAGCCGTTGGACCCTGGTCTAGGCAATTTCACTGCGCGAGGGATGTATTCCTCCATTCCGACGTGGATAATTTCGGTTATCGAAGAACACACAGCCGACGCATCCACGTCAGTGAAACAGACATCTTTCCAAGGAAAGCTAGAGAAGAAATCTCTGAGCCCCTCCCAGTCGGGATGTCCGTAATGCCAAGTTTTGCGGCCTGTACGAGTTTCTGCTGCCACAGCGGGTTCTGACCAACACCTAACCTCCACAACACCGTGGTCTGAGTTACCCAGGGGGAACAGGACAGCAGTGCTGTAAGGGGCATGATGCGTGGTCAGAAAGAGATCTGCTGCTACTGGCATGTGACGAGACGCGGGGGAAAAAAGTAGGACTCGTCACCAGCTGAGTCAGCCCTTGGGTAAGAGCGAACGCTTCGACTGCACGACCTGCTGCGTCGGTCTTGTGAAGAACCACCTCTGAAGCGGGATGATTGATGTTCAGGAAGTCGATCTGGACGGCGAGGTATTCGAGTAGGTCATCCCAGTTATGGTCCGAGGGAGAGCGATAAGGGCAGCAAATAAACTTGGGTGATGTTTTGGAGTTGAGGCGAAGCCACAGAATGTCCTTCCGGTCTGATTCCAAAGAAACATCTCTGGAGCAGGAAAGACTGCTGCGGACAAAAGCCACAACTCCCCGTTCTTTCTCAGATTGGAGTGCACTTCGTAGTTTGGGAAGTGAAGATGGTTAATCGGTGCAGACACTGAGATTTTTGTCTCAGCCAAGAAAAGCACGGCGGGGCGATTGGATTACAGGTAGTGATGAACAGCATCAATGTTGCTGTTAATCCCGCAGATGTTCGAAAAACAAATTTTATCTTCGATGTTGCTCCCTCGAGCCCACCATCCACCTGGACATTCTGAGAGTGGAGTGAGTTTATGTCCGGAGTTCTTAGTGCTCGAGGGATCCATCATCATTAATTTCTTTGTTTTGGATGATAACCGACAGCATAGCTTAGGTGTGGAAACATGCGAACATTTGTAAGTCACCCTGGGAAAAGCTAGCGGGTGGTACTGCCTCGGTCGACTGGTCCTTGTCTACCACCTTCTTTTTACGTGTTAGTGATGTTAAATAGACCTAAAGTGGCCCGTTGGCGGACTTGTACTGAGGTATTCCTTAACGCGTGGACAATTACTTGAACGGGAAGAAGTTGTATACTGGATACAACAACTTCCGGAACAAGCATTTGCCACGGCCCCACTCAGTAGGGGCCTGAAGGCTGAACTGCTTCCACATACGATTCTTGAAAGTCCGATTCACCCTTTCAACTACACTTGCTTTGGTCGATGAGTAGGTGCTGTAATGATTAATTTTGTACTCTTCCATCAACTTCTTAAAATCACCATTGTAGAATTCTTTACCCAAGTCTGTTTGTAAATTTTTTGGAATTGACTTCATGTGCGATAGAATCGCCCTCATTGCAGTTGTAACATCTTTTCCGGTTTTTCGTTTGACTGGTTCTGTCCACAAAAATTTACTAAAAACGTTGATGACAATTAAAATATATCGAAATCCTTTGTTCACTTTCTGATACGGAAGCATTTCCACCAAATCTGCCTGCAGGAGATCGTTGACCCCCTTCACAAGAACGCGCCGACGTCTATAATGTCGGCGAGCTGGTTTATGAAGTTCTTCAACAACCTGCTTTTTAAAGTCGATCATTTTTGTATCAATGGACAGCGCATTACAATGTTTGCTATAAGCTGCTCTGGTCTGGGTCCTTTAGATGTGAATAAATGTATTTGAGTATTCGGTTCAAAATTTCTGCGATATGCATTTGTGCGACGTAGCATATCCATATGCTGATCTAGATCACTCTGCTTATAACCAATTGGTTCTTTTTTGAAAAGCAGTTTATATAATTCAGGTGTGCCAGGATATGTTCCATTTTCCACCACGATATTTGCTCCGTCTAGCGTAACCGGACTTTTACCGAGTTGAAACTTGTCAGAAACAATATCATGTGTTAATCCATAATAACGATCAAACTCGCGCTCGTTCCCACGAATTGACTCATCAACATATTTTCGAGGTACAGGGTGAAAGCCTTCAAGATACTCTTGATACGCAGGTGTATCAATTAGTTGGTGTAATTCTTGCGCCACTCGAGCCACGCTTTCATTGATTTGCTGGTTTTTTGTCTCCAACACCGTAGCATTTGAAGTAAATTCTACCACGGTAGATACATCTTGACTGCGATTTGGCTCCGGAAGGTTTGAATATGTATCCTTGAGAAAGCTGTAGTTGACAGGTGGTAAATATCGTTGGTATAAATTTACTGACAATTCGTTATTGAATGATGGTCGTTTCTTCGGTGTGGATGTCACTGATGGGGGTGTAGATTGTTCTTCTTTGATCTGCAATTCTTGTTTAGGTCCTTCAACTTTTGATAAGAGTTTCTGCAGTGGTTTTGAGATCGGCTTAAACTGTTGCTGTAACTCCCTTTCCGTTGCTGCAATATCTGATTTAAGTGTGAGATACTTTTGTTTAACCGCTTTCCTGGTTTTGACTAGTTCTTTGGCCAGTTTTGGATGTTATATAAGTACTACCCTAAGATTTGCACAGAGTATAGTTATATATATATATATACAGGGTGACTTGGAAGTTTAGTCATTAATTTTCAGATAATGATTGTAGAAGGAAGATAAACCAACATATGTGTGTAAAAATAAAAAAAAATGTTACCCTGTTTTATAAAGTATCCTCCCGACAAGTATTTCAGTGCGGACCTGTATTTGATCGTGCGGTCTTGGAGCACCGGCATGCCCTCCCCTGTGAGGTCTTAAGTCACCTGATTCACGAGCCCTTTGTACTACATTAACAAAGGCACGAAGGATTGGTTGCACTCGATCGGTAAACCGATCCGCATAAATCCGTGATGCCGCGGCAGCATTTTGTAAGGACTCCCCCCCCCCGTAAATAAGAATCATGTCCACAAGTTCAGGATTTTCGTCAACATGTGCCATTTTTTATTTCGTTTGAGCCACGCGACAAATACCACTATTCACTCACGCGTTACCGACTGACACATTGACTGAATACAACTGAATAAATTTGTAGTAAAAACATCGTGATAAGCGTTTCAAATTCTTTCGCTTTTTTGTTTCCGATGCGATGAACCGATAAGGCGGATTATATCCGTTGTTGCCAAACACGAGCACATAATATTATTATTGAGACAGGGCGGTACTCAAACTTCTAAAGGGCTATAACTTTGTTACTTTAATTTCACCACAAAAATGTTAAAGGAAAAAACATTTCTTTTGATCAGATCTACTCACTGTTAAAATAAATGACTCAACTTCGAAGTCACTCTGTATATATTACAAACTTATGCTAAAACACTTTCTATACCTGCCTCCCTGTCTTGGAGAATCTTTATCAACCACTACAAAGCTATGTGGCTCTTGCCAACACAAACTGCACAAGCTTTTAAATTCGTTGAATGACATGTCTAGACTGATATGATCATCATAGATATGCTTCAGATTCAAATTATCTTGAGGAAATAGTATGAGTAGGTTTATGTTATCCCTTAAATTATGTTTGGGTGCGGCAGTATACGTTTGACAAAGATAGAAACAGTCTGTATTACGATGTCGTCCAAAACTGAAATATTGTCTTATTATATCCTGATTACATGATGAAACGTCGTCAAAAATTATTACGGATGTTTTCTGGGGTCGCAATGTTTTCATCTTCACTGTATTCATAATACCCTATTTCGCGAAGCGGTGTTAGTAGTTCTCGTAAATATTTGTACTTGGGTTGGTACAGCGACTTGCAGTACAGATAAACGTTCTCAAATCTCAATCCATTAGGATGTGTTAACAAAATGATCATTACATTAGTTTCTCCAGATCTGCTTGGGCCTACAACTAACGCGCGCTTAGACATACCATTGAATAGGTTACCATGTTTTCTAAGCGCACTATCCTGTGCAAGTCCATCAAAATTCCTCACAGGTACTTGTAGGGCTGATGTTTCGATCTTCATTCTGATAGCCTATAAATTGTACTGACATCAATACTTCTGGCACGGTCTACTATATATCTGAGAACCGTTACTTGATAGAATCATATAAAATGACTGCATTCCATGCGAGTAGAAACAATCACAAACCGACCGTTACAGTGCATGGTACGGGTTTCATAAATAAACATATTGATAAACTACCACTTGAATTGCACATCCCGGGATATAATTTCTGTGGACCGGGAACATAGTTAAAGCAACGCATTCTGAGAGGTGATACCGGAATTAATCGCTTAGACGAGGCCTGTAAGCAGCACGATCTTGTTTACGCTACCTCCAAACAAAGTGACATTCGTCGTAAACCCGATAACCTCTTAATTGATCATGCCCTCAAGCGGGTTGCTGCATCGGATTCATCGCTTGGTGAAAAAGTAGCTGCATTGGGTGTCTCAGCGGTCATGAAGATGAAGGAGAAATTGGGTAGTGGCATGAGTCGAAAAGAGTTTTCTTCTCGTATTCGCAAATCACAACGCATTGTAGGATTGCGAAAGAAGTAATAAGCGGACAAGCTCTCCGTAAAAAACGACGCATCACAAAAAAGTCGAGACTTTCACCGATGCCTAAAAAAGGGGGATTATTACCTATCCTCCTTCCTCTACTTGGTGCCCTAGGTGCACTTGGTGGTGGAGCGGCGTCAATTGCCAAAGCAGTATCGGATGCGAAAACCAGTCAGGCTCAGCTGGCTGAACAAAAACGTCACAAGCGTTAGAACAATCTAAACAAGGAAAAGGGTTATATTTGAACCTTATAAAAAAAAGCTAAAAAAAATCCCTCGTCATGCTCTTACTAATATAGAGTTACTTCAATTGGCTAAACAACTGAGAATTCCAAAATTTAGGGGAGTTTTTATGAGAGATGATTTACCGCATCAAATTTGAGCTAAAGAATGCGGTATTATTAATTTAGATAATTCATCAGATGTTGGATCCCACTGGACTGCATATGTAAAAAACAACAATCATGTCACATACTTTGATTCATATGGTAATTTACGTCCCCCCAGAGAAGCTGTGCATTATTTTCGCAGCAATCATGATGTCTCTGATATTGAATACGATTATGAATCCATTCAATCATTCAACTCAGCTGTGGCGTTTCCTATACAGGGTGACTTCGAAGTTGAGTCATTTATTTTAACAGTGAGTAGATCTGATCAAAAGAAATGTCTTTTTACTTTACCATTTTTCTGGTAAAATTAAAGTAACAAAGTTATAGCCCTTTGGAAGTTTGAGTACCGCCCTGTCTCAATAATAATATAATGTGCTCGTGTTTGGCAACAACGGATATAATCCGCATTATCGGTTCATCGCATCGGAAACAAAAAAGCGAAAGAATTTGGAACGATGTTTTTACAATTATTTTATTCAGTTGTATACAGTCAGTGTCAGTCGGTAACGCGTGAGTGAATAGTAGTGTCTGTTGCGAAATCAAAAATGGCACATGTTTACGAAAATGCTGAACTTGTGGACATGATTCTTATTTACGCGGCATCACGGATTTATGCGGATCGGTTTCCCAATCGAGTGCAACCAACCCCTCGTGCCTTTGTTAATGTAGTATAAAGGGCTCGTGAATCAGGTGACTTAAGACCTCACAGGGGAGGCATGCCGGTGCTCCAAGACTGCACGATCAAATACAGGTCCGCACTGAAATACTTGTCGCGAGGATACTTTATAAAACAAGGTAACATTTTTTTTTTTATTTTTACACACATATTTTGGTTTATTTTCCTTCTACAATCATGCTCTGAAAATTAATGACTCAACTTCAAAGTCACCCCGTATAAAGCTAGTGCAAGGTTCAATCAATGAATATTATCGACTACCTTTCAACGCATACATCATGTTGATGACATTTACCCTTTCTGACAATTATTCTACGCTTCAAGCTGACTTCGATGCTCCAATCTATCTTTCAGATGATGATGCGTATGAAATTGGGTTGTGTGATTTTGAATCCTTCAATGTCATTCCTAATGTTGATGCTTATATATATATATATTTGTATATTCTATATCTTCAATTGCCAGTGATCGCCAATCGTTTAAACTTCCTATCGGTTCCTATGAAATTTCAGAGTTCGCTACCGTCTTACAACAAAAACTTCCATCAGGACTGCAAATTAGTCTTACTGCCAACAAAACTACATCCACCGTCACTTTACAAGCCAATTGTGACATCGATTTTTCTTCAAAAGATACTATTGGTCGCATGTTGGGCTTTGAACCCCGAATTTTGCAAAAAAAATATACTGCATGAGTCCGATTTCGCAATAAGAAATATTAAAAGCAAATGCACTCTGTATCGAGTGTAGCATAGCTGCAGGTTCTTTCAGAAATGGACAACCCAGCCACATCATCCATCAATTTTCCCAACTGTTCTGGCTGGGTATAAAATAGTGGACGCACCGCAAAACATAATTTATTTTCCTGTGAGTGTTAGTACGATCAACACCTTGACTGTTAAATTACTTGATCACAACAACGACCTTGTAAACTTTAGAAACGAGACCATTATCATACGTTTACACTTGCGCAAAATACGTAATGGGTATTAGATACAATATTCCACATTCGGTGCTTTCCAATCGAACCTATAAAAACAAGATTCGCAGAGTTTCTACTGTTAGTACTCCACCAACCAACGTACCTTCACCTCGTCCAAATTATAGACGTCGTCTAACGATTGATAATCGTCAGTTTTTAAAGTCGTTGGGATTTTAATTGATCTAACATGAGCATTTTGAACGTGACAGAACAGCCATTACTTGACACCTCCATTACTGAAATGGAGTATCACACCTATCAACCGTGCATTAATGCTAATTTTGATTATAATGATGAAATTGCTATTCAAGAATTGGATACCTTCACTTTACCGTCCCAAAGCTATCTTTACCTTGAAGGAACACTCACTAAAGCTGATTGTTTTCCATCTGAAAACTTTAAATTTGTCAATAACGCATTTAGCTTATTGTTCGGAGAAATTCGATATGAGTTGAATGGTGTTGTTGTTGATCTGTTCGAAACGTCGGACTCACTTCAACATTGAAAGGTTATCTTTCTTACAATCAAAATGAAAGTACTAAATTACAAAATGCTGGTTGGTATCCCAAAGAATCTCACTTTTTAGTAACCGGTAAATTTAACGTATGCATTCCTCTAAGCATGTGGATGGGCTATTTTGAAGACTACCGCAAAATTATGTTAAATATGAAACAGGAATTAGTACTCGTACGAAGTAATGATGATATTGATGCAATTAAGGTCGCTACCGCCGAAACACCCAAAATTAATATTGAAAAAATACAGTGGCGAGTCCCTCATGTTTCCGTCGACATTCCTCAACAATTGGCTTTGACAAAACAAAAATATTGATATTCCACTGTACTTCCGGAGTTGGGAACTCGTTGAGTATCCCTCCCTTCCCGCTACGACAAGACATACGTGGCCAGTGAAAACAACTACGAAGCTGGAAACACCGAGGCATGTGATACTCGCTTTTCAGACAGATAAGAAAAACCAACTACAGTCAAATATGTCTACGTTCGATCACTGCAAGCTAACCAATGTTCGAGTGTTTTTAAATTAAGAACGATTTTCTTATAATGATCTCTCTCTGGACTTCCCCAGTAACAAATATGCTGCCTTGTATGACATGTTTTCAAAATTTCGTCATTCATATTATGAATCCGAAAATGAACCATTGTTTACCCTTGATAACTTTAAAAGTTTGGCACCCATTTCGCATATCGACTGCTCTAAGCAGAAGGAAAGTATTCAAACCGCTTCGGTTGTAATGAGAGTCGAATATTGCTTATTGCCTTATTCTCCACGATCGTCCTTTTTATTACAACCCTTTGACAAAAATCGTTAAACAACGTTAAACTTTTGAGTCTATAAAAACCTCATTTTCCACATTTCCTGGTCAGTTTTATTATGAAGCTCCTTTACTACAAAGCTCTCGAGCGATACGTCTCCAAACTTAAACAGTTAAGACAAGACATTGAATCATATTGCTTGCAACAGTGTGTTTTCTCCATCAGTTTGCTGTTTTGCGAATATGAATCTTGTTTTGGATGTGCAAGGATTCAAAATCGAACATAATAAATTTATTGTTAAAGAACTTGCTGGGTATGATGGACAACAAATATGTCACTATGTCTTCAAGCCCCCTTTTGCACTGGATCTGCTCCCACCGGACTTACAAACAAGCTACTTGGTTGATGCAGCATCATCACTGTATAAATTGGAACTCTGGTTTTACTCCACTACATACCTTTCCAAAAATTATGGATGACTTAACGGAGCATGCAGATCGAATTTTCGTCAAAGGAATCGAAAAAGCAAACTACTTGAGATGGTTTTCCCGCAAAAGCGTCATCGAATTTGTCGAACAGCCTCGTTTAGAACCCGCTAGCACTGCATGTTTCTATCACTCCAAGCCTATCACCATTTGTGCACTATCCAACGTATTTTATTTGTATAAGAACTTTATCATGTCATAATTTTTTAAATAAAACAATTATTAAGACATATTAGCTTTTTTTATTCAATGAGTTGTCAGGAAACAGCATGTAAATGGTTATCGATATGTATTTACAGGAATATTTACACAAATTACAGAACATCTTTTCATTTGTA